GGCCTATAGTCCTATGCCTGGGCCTTCACATCACAACAATCACGCACTTCGAATTCATTTTCACCGCTCTCACTGATAACCTTTGACACGAGCGAGCTGGTCGTCGCCGCGCCGCCCCCACTCCGATCCTTCACGTGTGTTTGATGAGAGTCGCCGCGTGTGCAAAGAAAATACAGCAGCAATATCAGAATTCTCCAAATATCATTAAATATAGGCACCTATTAAAAACCACAAGAATACATAAGCTTCGACCTATATATGAATATAAAAAATTTGGAAAACAACAATAAAAGGCACATTATGTTGTTAAATTCTATAAATACATACGAAATTCTTTACCCATGATGCCCGACCCTGTGGCCTAATGGATAAGGCGTCAGCCTCCGGAGCTGAAGATTGTGGGTTCGAGTCCCATCAGGGTCGTTACTTTTTTTTCTTCTGTTACACTATTGTAACTTTTTTCAATTTAAGCTTTCTAGTGTTATATGGACATAAGGTGTATTTTAAACTTTTTGTTTAATTGATGCGTGCTCCCATGGCTCAATGGAAGATATCTAGAGAGGGCGGTATTACTGTTATTGCCATCATCAAAGTTGTGATCAAATAGTTCTCCACACAAAAAAAGTGTTCCACCGTGTTCCACCGAAATGCATGGTGGGAATACGAAAAATGGGACTCCCCCTACAGCTGGATCTAAAAAAACTTGTGCCAAACTTTCGTTACCAAGTCGTCGCGTATTTTATTATTAATTCTCAACAAAGATACTAGATATAAACAAACTGGAAAGACACCCAGACAGTGACATCGGTGAATACATAACCTCCTTCGTGGCGGTAGAAATCGTTGCTATTATCCAAATAATACACAAAACAATTAAAGCAAATCATGAATCAGTAAAGAATAAAACAACAATACAGGGCAGAATCGTATTCGCATGGCCGGACGCACTCTTAGTGAAAAAGTTTTCCTCCATTAGTGGAAAAGGAAGGGCGCCTTTTGCGTCTGGATATACTTAGCAACAGAAGGGCGCCCTGTACGTTGGGCACGAAGTATAGGAAAATTGCATGGTTAAAAAGAAGGACGCCGCCTACGTTGGGCACGACTTCCGCCTCATTTTTTCAATGCGAGAACTCTATCGTCCAAATCAAGCGGTGGGCGAAATTGACCTGAGGAAGCGAAAATTTGCTATAGCGCCATCTAGAATACTGGGAATTGTTCTTACATTTATTAATTCTTACATTTATTAATTCGTATCATTTGCTTTTATTTGTCTGTTTAAAACGGACTTAATAATGTAGTTAACAGTATTGAAATTGTCACAATATGTTAATGTTAATTCTACTCCTTTATACTTAAACCTCATCCGATAAAATTAGTTCCAAACATCTTAACGCATAAAGATAACAACTTCCAGGCAGAAAACTATAAAAAGTATCAAATTATATATAGGTGTACATCAAAGTTTGTAAATAGTTCTACTTTTTGACAAAATAGGCCTACTAGGTGTGGCCAAAGAGAGGCCAATGCATATAATATGGCATTTTGTTTTTATGTGTACTTGTTTAAAAAGTATATCGAAGCGAGCGCTTCTCTTTCGGCCATTCATTCTTAGGATAAAATTTACAGGAAAAATAAAATTGATGATCATTCATTTGGAACCTGGACAGTTGTTGGAGATTTAAGATGTTAGTAGTGAGTTTAGAACGTGCCTATATAAAAAATGTTTCCTTCCCATCCCCTCCACTGGCGTCTGCATTCAATCAGGGGCCTTGACTATTGTTACATAATACAAAATAAAAACATATTCATTGATAAATAACAATGTCAAAAACAACAAAGGCAGTTTAGCTAGCATGATTCTACTTTTGAGCTTTTTTTTAATACTTCGAACCTACTTACACGCGAATGTAATGCTTCAAAACACATTCAAAACGATCACAAAGACATTCGATATCGCATGAATAAAACAGCAGGGGGAGGATTGGTGTTACGTGGAATACACACGTGCCCTGGACGACATCGACATGGGTCATCGGTTCCCCATCGACGACTTTTCCAATCCGCTGGCCAAACAAGTAAGAAGAACGCCGTGTGTAATGGATGGTTGACCTTCGCTCGGCGGTCACGGTCAAACGTACAGCAGAGAGAGTATAGTACCCGCGTACATGCTGGTGGTGGTTGTGTTATCTATCGAATCAATGTTACGGCGGTCTGTTTTTGCGCAAGAATTTGAAAATCGTTTTGTTTCACACTCACTAAAGATGACTTTTAGTGTATATTCACGATAATGGCTATTTTTACTGATGTGAAAGTTTATATTTGCTGCGTGTGGATATTGTTATTGTCCTGGAGTATAGCAGGTAGGCCTAGTAGTGGAGCCTAGAAATTTATATGTTTTTTGATATTTGTAATTATTGTGGTGTGTGGTTGTGCGAAAATGCTCGCTCAGCAAGGCAAGTCAGCAGCGTGCTACGTACGATATGGATTGCTAGGCCTAGGCTTAGGCTAAATTCTGTATGCACTGGAGTTTCTTGCCCAGGGAGAGGCAGGATTTTAATGGAATATGTAATCGTATCCTTTCGTAAATCTTCTTTTGCAAGTTAAATGTGTCGCATTATTCACCAATTATTATTATTATTTAATATTATTATTAATATTATTATTATTATTATTTGTTCCTTTGAGATACCCTTCGTGTGTATGTATGTGACACAGTGGCGGCTCTAGGATATATTTTCTGGGGGGGGGGCTAAGTTGTCCGACAGGGGGACATGAGCTCGTAGGTTTGAGCTGGGAGAAGGGGTTGAGAGGGGGGGTTCCCCTCCCAAATGAGATTTTTTAAAAGAATATCAACTCTAGATGGCCGAAAATGTCACTCTCAGACTGTGACAGACATTTGTTGGCTTGGTGTGGGCCTATTTTTATATGTTATGGTCTGACTGCCCGACGAGCTCTGTCCGGCAGGGGGGGCTTGACCTGTCCGGTGTTGGGCTTAAGCCCCCCCCCCTGGCGTCGCCACTGATGTGACATGTAGGCCTATGTTCAATGTTTTTTGTAAACAGGCAAAAGTGACTTTCCAGATATCTGTTCGTTATGAACATCTGTACCCAAGCAAAACTGGATATGATGTCGTGCCCTATTTAATGATTTTCTATTTTGACAAATATTAAAGCCATAACTAATATGAAAGACGATACCCCCTACCCTTGATAAGACTAGTAAACTGTATGATAAGAGGAAAACATTTATGGAATGTTGTTTACTTTCATTGTCCAACTTGAACTCAACTGTCTTAAATGTGATGGATTGGACTCTAGGGACTTTCCTGGGTAGTATGGACAGAAAACTTTACTTTATCCACACTCCAAAAACTTCAATTTTATACTGTGGTTTGGATAAGGTTTACAGCATAGAATTGACACTCCAAAAACTTCAATTTTATGCTGTGGTTTGGATAAGGTTTACAGCATAGAATTGTGTTGTGGTTGTTGTGGTTTGATGAAAACAAACTTGACAGGATAATCCTTTTGCAGCTTCTATCCGAAGCTAGACTACGCGTGTACAGTACGGTATAGTGAAACCATTGTTGGGTCCAACCCATAGTTAATGTAGGGCCCCCACCGGACAGGTCAAACCCCCACTACCCATCAAACAGAGCTCATCGGGCAGTCGGACTAAAACAAATATAAGAATAGGCCCATGCCAAGCCAACACATGTTTGTCACAATCTGAGTGCCATTTCTGGCCATCCAGAGGTTCCTAATTCTTTAAATATCTCATTTGGAAGGGGAACACCTTCTCAAAATCTTCCACAAGCTTTGGCCTACGGGCTTTAGTCCCCCTGTCGGACAGTTCGGCCCCTAGAAATATCCTACAGCCCCCACAGCTACTACACCTTTTTATCATTGGCACTAAACAAGCAGAACAAAAAAAACCTGATGCCAGGATTAATAATAAAATATTAATAAAGATAATAATAATAATAATAATAATAATTATAATAATTTTGACTTAAATAGCGCATTATGCTAAAGCCTTGATGCGATTAACAATAAAAATGAAACTGCCGGATTAACACTTGGTCTCCCATCTCCTCATCATTTGTTGCCATGTTTACATCATCGCAAATACAGTTTAGTGCAATATTCCACGAATGCCCACATAGGAACCTTGGCCCTAGTAGCAAGGCAATTCAACAAAAGGACGCACATCTCCGCTCTCGAACATAGCGCGTGCGTACAGTCCTTTGATCTTTACTGTGGCATCGACAATCCGATACTAGTGGCAAGTTTAACAAAAAATAAATATATCCTCATGGGCGTACGCTGGGGGTGCACCCCCAGCGTACGCCCATGAGCATATATTTATTGTTTGTTAAACTTTTATTAATGATTAAACAACACTACGTTATAGGTACCAGATGAATATTTCTAAACGACCCTCTGACACTAGGCATACAGTATTTAGAGATTGTACAGTAGTTTGCATCCTGGTCATACTATAGCCTGCTAATATTGTATACTGTATACTGATTTTAATGTCAAACCTCCAAGTTAGGCAAGACCCATCTTGTTTCGCATACCCAGCATATTAAGTATGTGTTTTTAGGCTTATCATGGCCCTAGAGCCATCTTCAATTCATAGTGGAAATATTTAGTTGCTCACAGTTATAAGAACACAGGCCTAACTCTCCTTGGAAAACCTCAAGATTTGGCACCCTTGGTGTGTTTTTGAGGGAACGCATTTGAACCATTCTGACATGCTTCCAAGTTCACTTTTCAAGCATTTTAAAGACTTGTTGTGCATGATGATATTTGCGTTGGGCTCTTTGTTCAAACTAACCATTTTTTTCCTGCTCACTCTGACCAAAAATAAACACTAAAATTCAGTGCGAATAGCTATGTATAAACGTTTCCTTTTATCCAAGGAAGAATAACCAGGATATTTTTTGTTGAGCTGATCAGTATGCCAATTGTACTATTAATAGCCAAGAACAATTAGTGTGATGCAGGGGTTTAGCCAGAAAACGTAATAGGCTGTCCAAAATGGCAGCCAGTGGGCGTGGCCCTGAGCCAATGGGCGGGCCACGCCCACTCAAAAAAAAGAAGAAAATTATGATCGTCAGAGGGCATTTAAAGATGTTTAAATGTTGAAATTTTGTCTTCAAAGGAATAGTGTTGAATTAGCTATCACAAAGATATTTCAGTTATAGACATTGCGCACGGCTACGGTTACTGACATAATTTTTCTAGGCAATGCAGGTGCATCTTCATCTCTCGCCTTAGTCTAGTGTAAATTCTACTCTAGGTCCTCCTAATCAAGACTAAGAGATAGGCCTAGACCTATACTGTATTTTGTTGACTAATAAAATTTCACTTGTGGCATTAACAACAACTCTTTCATGAACTAATTATAACCAGAGAGTTACAAACACAACAGTATTATGTCGGGGAACCAAATTTCAAATACTGTATTGTATTTGCAGAGCCAAGTGCAGGCGTTGTGGGCGACTCAGAACCGTCCACTTTCCAGCGGGCTATAAATGTTTCAACATATGACGTGTTTTGTAAGTGAACTTTTCACCGAAAGGTCCACTGATTAATCTCAGATAAGAAAGTATAATACATACTCCAAGTATTGAAATACACGCCATCGTGTTGGGATTCAATATTTCGACATTAATTATGTCATCATCAGGAAATGATTTTCACCGAGTAGGCAATGTTTAAGCCTTACAGTAGGCAATGTTTAAGCCTTACATTTTTGGGAATCCCCACCGAATATTGGTATGAAAACATCGTATTCAATCAATAAAGGTTGTTTTTATCAAACGTAAATATGATTTAGAATTAGTTTAAGTAACAATCGATAGATTTGAAGAATATAAAAAATTTGCTAAAGGTAGACCAGGCCCAAGTAGGCTACAGTAGGCCGAGCTGATTAGGCTAAGCCATCCAAGCCATCACAGTAAAAGTGGCCATCCTAAATGATTGTTGGCCATCCAAAAGACGGCTGGACGGCTCACTGGCTAAGCCTATGGTGTGGTGTAAAAGCAATCTACACACATCCTCCAATACCAAAGATACCCACAATAATAATGTGCATGCACATCAGTACACGCACATTACTACAGTAGCACCATATATAGCATATTTATCTTATATATAAATTAATGATGAAAGTACTGTATGTTACAGTATATTAAGGGAAATTACTTCATTTAGCAAACTATTGATTCTAAACAAATTAACCTAGAAATATGTTAAGTAGCAGTGGGAGTGAGAAAGCCTGGTGGTAATTAATGTCACATATCACTATAATTAATCTACTTTCTCGGTTCAGTAATTTTCACATTTAAAAGCTAACAAATGGTTTGCATTTTTAGATCAAGTAGATATTAATTGTTTGCAAGTTGATCATTAAAGGGACGACAGGGAAGTCCCATGGTAATGTGTTAATTAACCTCAATCAATTTAAATTTTAAAATGTGAGAGGTATGTTACAGCATAGAGAAAATAGAACAGAAGGAGTAACATCGAGCGAAGATCAAAGGTACAGACCTCCTCGCCGCGATCGTAATTATCTCAACGTTACGTAACCTACTTGACAACGAGATAAGCTGAAATCGGTAAACGCGCATGCGTCGATAACTCTTACAATCATAACATAGCAACGTATCGCGAGCGAGATCGTCGTGATTGAAATATCGATTTAGGCCTAGGCCCTAGGCCTTAATTAGGCCTATAGGAACTGGAGGCAACAGGGAAAATAGAAAACCATTTAAATGGTGATGTTTTAATTGGCATTATGTGTTTCGAAGAGAGTGTGCAAGTGTATTATTTTTAGCCTACAGGGCAGGTTGCAGCCTAGATAGGCCTAGACCGGGAGTAGATCTGGGAATAGCCAAGGATCGGCCTACACGATCCTCTTGATCTTTGATATTTAATTAAAAAGGCCTAGGCCTAGCTATGTTAGTTTTAGTGAATACTAGGCCTTAGCTTACCACTGGTACATGTCGTGATGGCCATTACCAGAACACAATTAAGGCCCTGGGCAATATTAACACTCTCTAACTCATTAATAATAAAAGTTAGTAGGCCTAGTGTAGAGCCTACCATAGGCCAACACTACTTGCTGATAGACTAGGGCCTGTAATTATGCAGCATAGTAGCTAGGCCTGGGTTATGATAATTTGTGTGTCAATACTAAATTTAATATTTATGCATTTTCATTTTTATTATATTCTTTACTGATTAACTATATATAAAAATTAATATATTATGATAATTCTCCACCACCCATTTCATCAAAAACTATGATATACTGACTAATGTAAGTGGTAAATTTTCACAGGGATGCA